AAAAGGGTAAATTAAAAATTAAGCATAGATGTGGCCCTTAAGGACATGGATTAATGGTGGACTTGGCAGTGCTGGGTTAACAGTCAGGCTTGATAACCTTAGAGGTCTTTTGCAAGAAACAATTTCTATGATTTCCAGACATGGAAATTGTTTACAAGAGTTTTCAGTTCTCAAAATAATACAAACTATATTCATCACTAACACCACTTTGCATCTGCTAAAAGCACTTTCGATACAAAAAGGAGAAAAACTTTGCAACTCTCAGATTAAGAGAAGAAATGTTAGATATGGTCTCTCAAAACCAAAATAAGGTACATAGCCACATGCAAAGGGATTGCAATAGTAAAACACATTTAGCCTCCACTCACAAAACACAGAGAGTACAGTACTAGTAGCAGGAGAGACAGAACAACACAATCAAGCCAGAATAAATCTGCATTTAAGCTAAATCATCTGCTTACTGCATTTCAAWGAGGCAATTCAGCCAATGTAAACAAAAATTACGCTCTGCTTTCCACTAGATCATAATCTAAAACCAACAGAAATAACCATACACCACCTCAGGCAACACTGTGAGAATTAAAACCTCTCCTCATTGTTATTTCAARTGTATTATTCAAATAAAACCTACCAAGTTACAAAAGCCTTTTTCATGTACGGTGACACAACAAATCCCTACCATTCCCCAAGCCTGGACTGCCAGCAAGCGAGTGGGATTTTGCAGGTAGCCTAACACACTAACACCTACAAGAATTCAGAATGTACCCACTGCTAGCACTTCCCAACACGGCACTAAAACAGGGATTTTCCAGATGGGTGAAGTGATGGCACCGTGATGAAGTCTGCACCACTACTTTTCACAGCATATTCTAGGCAATTCTCTCAGCCCCAAAATAAAATGGAACAGTCTCCAGATTAGCACTTTTTCAGTTGTCAGTCAAACAAGCTGGTTAACCACTTATGGAAAATCAGATGCATTGGAAAAAAAAAAACCGAAAAAAAAGAAAAATCTAAATATTTTAAGAATAATCTAAGTTTGAGAATTATGTACTTAAAGGTACAGTAAGTCCCAGTTTATTGAAATGGTTAATCAACAGCCTATTCTCTACTTTTCCAGTCCTCCCCCTTACCCCTACATAAATAAGCAAATAAAAGCAGAACAAAAGGTTTTAACTTAGTTGGCTGAAGCCTTTAACAATGACCATAAGCTTAAAGCCTCAGAACTCTTAGAACTTTTCTTGTCACTAGGTTAAAATAAAAACACTAAAAAAACTGACCATATTCCCATCTTTATAATCTTTATATATAAATTCCACATTTTCTATTGGTTAGAACTGTGTTTCCTTTCAGAATTAAAAGGAATTCCAGTAGTTTACTGAAAAGTCTAAGCAATTTCAACTTTAATAACTTTCATAACAATGGCTATGAACTCCTCTTTCTCTGCTAAATGGAAATGGAGCTACCTAACCCAGCCATGTAATAAATAATTGAACATCCATTATTAAAATGCCATATATTGCATGTGTGTTTTCAAAATATTTTATCACAAGCCTCACATTCCAAGCAACAGGAACAACTGCAGAGATTTATACACCTGAAACACTCAGAGCCATGAAAGCTGGAGCTGACATGACCTCTCAGATATTATTTAAAAAAAAAAAAAAAAAAGCATTTTTCTCAATTGTCAACCTGCACCCTTAAAAAAAAAAAAAAAAAAATTAAAAAGTTGTAACACAGAGCCACTTGTCCAGGCTCCACATCCTGGCCAAGGCAGATGGACCTTGTCCATCCCACACCCTCCTGACTCCACCGCTTCTCCGGACATAAGGGCTCCCCCATGGGAATCAAATGACTAAACCGGGATGGGAACCAAGAGCAGGATAAGAAATCTCTTACTGGATTGCCACTTAATCCTGGATGGCATTTCTTTCATTTSCCTTGCCAGGAGAAGCAGCGGGACAGCCCTGACAGAACGTGGGYCTTGCTGCCCTCAGCACACGCCGCAGTCCTTGCCCAGCTCCTCGTGGCAGCAGGGCTGTGACAGCCCRTGAAGCCACCAGCAGCTCTTTTGTGCCAAGGCAGAAAATATCTCCCCACCCACAGGAGGCATAAAGCTATTTATGCGTTATTTGTACTTTCATGTGATTTTTTTCCCCCCTCAAATAGTTTTATCCAGGAGAAGGAAGGAAGAGGAAAAGATATTTTCTCATTTCAAAACTTGTGTTAAGTCATAAGCCATCATTCCAATAAGTTTATTTAAGGTATATTTATTTACCGGAAAATAAATTCCCAAGCATATTTATCATTATATGATCCACTTCAACATCTCTGTAACCCTGGACCTTCTCCCTCTCTCCAAGAACTCATGCATTTCACTTTCTACCATCTCACTCAAAACCATCATCTTGATAAAAGGAATAAAAATGCCCTCCATTGAATATTTGCAATCAGGAAAATGCACCTGGCTGCTCATTTATGGTGTGTCCAGAGATGTCCCCACAGTGTGCACCCTTTCTGTTTGTCCATGATGTCACATATTCCCCTGCACCCACCAAGAGGGTGTGACAGAGGCAAGCAGAGGAGGCATGACAGAGTTTACTGAGGAATTCAGGAGGAGAGGCTGCAGCAGGCTGCACCTACACATCAATGATTAAGATAATGTGCAGCTCTTGAAGGTGCAGGACCTCTGAAGAGAAACATTGCTCCACAGAGACCTCTCCTGCTCCACCACAAATCACAAAAAAAAAAAAAAAAAATCCCCTCAGATATCTAAGCAATACTCTAAACTGCTTTCATATGCAATAAAACCAGTTGGAAATCATGGGGAATCCCTGAAAGTAGGTACACCTACTTTCTGCAGAAATCCACGCAAACAAATAAACTGCCATCTTAAAAGCCTAAAAAAATGTTAAAACTGCCTCATATTCCAAAATAGTTCAGGGTTGTGGTTCTCAACCTGCAACCCAGAAAAAAAAAACAAAAAAAAAACCAAAACATTTACATAATCAGTTCATCAAGACATATTTTTGAAGAAAATTTCCATTAAAGTTCTGAATGTTATGTAATTACTGCTTAGAAGAGGACGATATAAATATTCCTATCAAATATCCTTTGCATTATTTATTTCAGATACTTAGACTTACTCCAAGAGAAAAACAATCAGCATTCTGGTGTCATAAGCTGACCAGAGATACTGTAAATGCAGGTGAAATCTTGGGGGAGAATCTGGCCAAAACATTTAATGCTGTAGTTCACTCACTAGGACAGTAACTCTAATGTGGGCTTTGTTTCCAAAATGCCATTTTCAGGTTTAACATCAGGGAGAAAAAAGAGATTACAGAAGTATTCATAAGAACAACACATTTCAACTGTATCTCTCATACCTGTTTTTTTTTTTTTTTTAAACAGCTCTTATTGTTGACTATTTTAGATCTTTGCTAAAGGAGTAATACAGGCCTGGATATATCTTTCTAAGGAAAGAATGAAAAGGAAAARGATTGAAATAAGGCATCCCAAATTTTCAAAGGGCCCTTTCTTCTAATCTATCTGCTTGGATAATGCGTCCAGAGTGGCATTTTGTAATGACAGCAACTTTCCAACAAATCAATAGTTATTTAATTCCCAACAAGCTCTCGAGTCCATTAAACCTGATTACATTCACCCATTTCAGTTGGGTGCAGTTATTTTTCCTACACCGGCACTTAATCTATAACAGGAACTTATGAGAACTTTCAAAAGCAATTTCAACATCAATCAGCATAGAGYGAAAGGCACGATTTGCTTGTAATTATTTATTGGACAGGATGGCAGAGGGTCTGACTGAGCTCCTGCATCCGACCTTCACCCCCAAATTCTAATGGATATGAAGGCCTGCTCGATGTRTCTCACTGCATAAAAAGCAGCCTCACTTGCATGTCCCCCAAGACAGTTTCTCAGCACCTGATAATGGCCACTGTGCCATGCCATATTTCTATTTTAGACATCTGTGTCTGATATTAAGTCTGAAGTGAATAGCACAGCTCACAGTCTTCTGTGACTGAACGGACCTATGTGGAAAACCAACTGTTTCATGCTGTGATTGCCCCCTTTGTCAGCAAAATGTTGGAGTAGAGGAGCATGGTGAAAATTTCCCTCTCCCTCACAGCTAATTTGACTCATCACCAGCAGAGCACAGAAAAGCCTCAACATAAGTGTGTCTTCACCCTGTTAATGCACAATATCTAACTACTGTCACTTAGAGGAGCTTGGAAACRTTATTTGACTTCTTTCTTAATGTCTTCTAACAACAGGATACTTATTGCTTAATTAGCATCCGCATGATCTATTAAAAATCTTTAACAGAATAAACTTCAGTAGCACCACTTTTTGTTAAAATAAAAGCAAAAGCAAGCACAACAGCAACAACCTAGCAGTTGCCAGCTGACTGTTAAATATACAGAACTCCTGCCCTGAGGCGAGATCTTATACTTTGAGGGCTCAAAGGAATGGATAGGATGTGTATAAATATTCCTTGCAGGTGATATATGTCCTCACACACAAAACCACGACCCCCTTTTCATTCCGCGCGAGGCGTAACATATGAATTAAYGCATATTTAACGCTATTCCTATTTGCCGTGCTAAAACACTTAACCTAAACACATCATGGTGAGTTACTTTGTCTTCTGACCTGCCGTGGGAATGCTGACTCCCTCAGAAACCTGGAATGGATAGCAAATCCTCTGCCCTGTGGTCAACCTCGTGAAGCAAAGGCATGAATGTTAAACAGCAGACAAATCAATACAAGCAAATATAGCTCAACTACACCATTTATTCAGCCATGAGAGATGTCAATACACAGATTAGGGTGATCCATCTTTTTGATTTCCTACTGTCTTCTCACTGACTACATGAGAGCTTTTGCCTGTATTAAAAGTGTTTGCTTTCTCAACCATAAAAATTCCAATTATTGCTCTAAGTGCACTAGAGTTAAGTTGCTTGTTGGAAGCGGCCTTGCATTACCTGAACAAGTCCAGCGAAGTATGGCGCTGCCGGCAGAATCATTGGCACTCCATAGGGATGTAGCAAAACTCCTTGAGACGACAACATGGTTTAAGTGATAGTATTACTCCCACTAAAGCTAAACACATCAATTGAAAGTTAGGGGAAAATCTATATACCAACTTCTTCCAAACTCAGAGCTAGAACCAAATAACTTCTGTCAGGGGCAAAGCCCACATCAGCTGTAAAAAAAAGAAAAAAATTGACGTCAGCAACACTTAATGTTAAAATTTTCTTCAGAGACAACAGATAGAGACAACAGCTGCAAACCTAACTCTACCCAAAAAGGAAGGTGCTATTCTGGGAGCAGCTTAAGTAACATGACTAGCCAACTACTCTTTATCGGTTCAGATTTTTAAGTACTGTACACATAGAGATCAAATTTTGTACAGATCTACTGATTAGAAATAATTTTCCTATTTGTTCTGGCATATGCATGACAACAGTTACTATTAGAAGCCACTTTCAAAATAATCAGGTTTATCATGATTGCATAATTAGACATTTCCCTGTATTTATGAGCTGTTAAACAATTGTGAGTGTTTAAGCTTAAGTCTGTTATACTGGGTACATACTTTGCTCTGATTCGTTAGATTTTTCTTGTTTGTTTTGAATATGTGAGCCCACTAATGCAAGCTAACTACTTCTATTAGTGTAAATTATATTTTAATGGCTTTTCTAACCTTTCACAACATCTATGTTGTTAAACTGATCATAACTATCTTTAAAAGAACACATTTTCCCATTAGARTATTTCCAATCTGTTCTCCAAATCAACTTACACTCCTTCTGTAAGAGATAAAAGAGGGAAATTTAGGCTGGTTTCTTCCCTAAATCAAAACAGATTTGATTTTAAATGTGCTACTTACAAGACATTCTCTTCCACAGCTCATTTTTACTTTAGACAAAACCAACTTAGTCATTAACACCTGTTTTATGTGCTATGTATCTTCTATTGCAGATGTAACTAATGACAAGAATTACAACTGAGCAAGACTTTTATTTCAATAAAGAATTAGTTAGGTACTTACAACTTCATGTTACAAGTGTAATAATAAAAAAAAAAAAAAAATCATCTCCTACAGTCTTTGAATAACCAGGGTGCTTCACACCACTAATTCCAGCTACTTGATTTTGTTGCATAATTACTTTTCCAGATAACTAATTGCAGACAAGATTTGATGTGATACTCAATTATTTAATGTCACATTTTGACCATCGTGGAAGGCTTTCAGTAATTGATTCTCGTGTATCACAGCAGCCGTGCTGCAGGATTTAGAAATCTCCCTCAGCAGCTGCCTGCTGGCCCTGACCACTGCCAGCCTTAGCCCACTGCTAACTTTAGATGTGGAATTGTGACCCTGGGGGATGCTCTCTGCAGAAGCTGTCACTGAGGCCAGCAATTGTCACATGATGAAGTGATGTTTACCCCACTCCATCTCCTGTTTCAGAACCGCTTCACTTTCCTGGTGGGGATGGTGCTGTTCTCTCTGCTTATCTGACCATGCTCAACTACAAATCCAATTTCTTGTYCTCGTCTTATTAACACAGAGAACTCTGCAGTTTAATTATTAAGCAGGCTGACATATCATAGACTTTTTCAAAAGATTCTCATAAATTCCAATACAAAACCAGTCACTAAATTCCACACAGAAATACATAAACAAAAAGTATAAATGAAAAAGCGAGCTGAAGTCACAACTCACTTAAAAGTACTTAATTTTTAAAAGGAAAAGRAAAAAAAGCAGCTCATTTTAATTACTGCCTATTTTTTTTAATCTAGCAGAGTGAGCTGCATCTGAAGAGAAAGCAGATTTCTTTCACCCAGGAATGGAGATTATAAAATGGATTCTGCAAGCTTTACTCAAATGACTCCAGTGGGACAGCTGACATAAATACAGACTGTTAAATTGCTCTGTAAAATACCTGGCAGGTTTTTTGTTTCAGCGTGTATGTATTTGATAAGATGTTGGAAAACCAGAGAAGGAAGATTTGTACAGGGAAGCGCAGGCTCAAGGGAAGCTTTTCTGTGATCTATTTTGGGACTTTTTTTTTTTTAATGCATTTTCTTTAATTATATTGGCACAAGGCAACCTGCCGATGAAATTTCCTGATGACACAAAATTGGAAGGTACTGTCAAGACTGAAAAGGATAAGGATATTACATAGAAAGAACTGMTAAATTTTATGGACTGGCATTAACAGCAATGGGATGGAATTCAATAATACAAAATGCAAGATCATGCTCCTCCTAAACAGAAACTTCAGAGTTAAACTYAGGAGCAAGAAGAACATTGCATCTGTTCAGAGAATGTGAGATGTAAATCCACAAAAGAAAATTAGCAGTCTTTCTTAATTTTAATTCTCAATTAATTTCTTTATTTCCTAGAGGTGCTTCCAATAAATACAGTTCGCTTCCTCCAGATTACATTAAAAAAAAAAAAAAAAAAAAAAAAAAAAAAAAAAAATGCAGGTCGAATTCAAATATAACCTTTGGAAAGAAATTCCTTTTTGTATTCAGGGGAATGGAACAACTATGTTTCAACAGGGACCTAAATTTGATTTGTTTATCCCAGCAAAGCAATCTGTGAATAGGGAAGAAAACAGTAGGAGGAAGAGACCGTTTAAGATAAGGACAATCCTGACACTCTAAAAATGAAGAAAAACCTGGTTCTGAATAAATTTAGGCTGAAAATATATTTTCGAGTTTGGTGGTTTGTTTTTTTTGTTTTTTTTTGTTTGGTTATTTTTTGAAATATTTTGGTTTTGGCTAGCGAGGGTCTAGAACAGCCTTCCCAATCCATAGTTACAAAAAAGGGTGCTTTATAACAGACACTTCTCTGGTAGTGTGAGCCCAGCAATTTACAGGAGGACCCTTCCAGTCCTTTGCAAGCATCATAAACATTCAAGAACAACGAAAACASCAAATGCCTAAGGAGCATTGATATTTCCTGCATTGCAGATGGCACCAGGCTGAAGCAAACATTGGAAATGAACCGTGACTGTTTAAATGAAAGGCTGCTTTGCTGGCCTCACTGTAAGAACCTGCTTGTCAATGTGTAGGTTTGAGGCACTCAGAATCCAGCTCTGGCTTGGTGGCTGGGCTCTGTGCTGCTGTCCCACATGTGCTCAGCTGCCTGAGCTCACACAAACCTGGGAATCACATCCACAGCAGCGTTCACTCGCCTCCCTGCCCTGTGCTGAGCTCTGAGCTCATACTGGTGCCTCCACAGCAGCTCCACCACTTTACACCAAAACATTTATTCTCCCTCCCGGCTGCACAAAAATGAAATTTGACTTAAGCTTCACAGTTCACCATTAGTATCAATGGTCTCTCCTGTTCTGCAAGAATATGTTGAATAAATGAAATTTGACCCTAAAGAGCGCTGAAGACTGAGAGAATGAGCAGGAAGAGTATTAATTAAGCTGAGAGTTCTGTTTCACTTGAGCAGGACCTTTAGCATGATTAAGGTCAAGTGTGGACCTAAACATTCTTGGGAGGACAAAGCCACAATGGTCGGTACATGCACATTGACCACCTCTGTGATGTCACTGCTGGTGACKGCACCCCTTCCTGCCTACTCCTGGGTTCCTCTTCCCTGCAAAAAATTAACTGTGTGTGGGTGGAAGAGKGGAGATCATCTATTTTAAACAACTCTACGGCTTTCACTTCCATCACATTTTAGAAAATTATAATGCTGTTAGGAAAAAAAAAAGACATGCTAARCCATTGTCAGTGTGCTCATGGAGGACACGCTGCTTTCAGCTGTTCCCAAACCCTRGCTGGCTTTATTTTTTTCATTAAAAATTTTCATGGATTGTCCCAAACTGAAAACCAATTTCAACAATGAGAGAGGAAGAAAGAACAAGAAAAACCCATGAACACTGGCTTTTTATGTAAAATGCATATACACCATTAAAATTCACCATCTTATTTCTGCCAGTTGTGCAGAATTTTGGTAAGAGGCAGRTTTTGTCCATGAAAACCTGATTTTAAAGGTGAAGAGCATAGATTAAGCAAGCTAAGGCAGGAGCAGAAGGTCACAAAATTYGTCAGTATTTCAGGCCCAGCAGTCTAACACCACAATCTCATGTTTTAGCACTGAACTGAAGCTACTGACAGGAGAGCTCTAATAGCAGCTTCATTGAAGACTTGCTAAAAAGTCATTTAAATAGGAAGGAAATGGAGGCTGCTGTACAGTATGGATACACAGATACAGAAAAAAAGCCAGAAAYATGCCTGAAAACCGGGCTACACATTCAGGCACAACAAGGAGAATGAAAAAGATACAAAAAAGGCCTGAGTTTTGATCCCACCTGCGTATAAGATGTAAATGGCAGAAAAGACAACAACCAAAATACGTCCCCAGGCAGAAGCAGATGCCTAAGTTTTGTTATGGCACCAGGTTAAAAAAAAAAAAAAAAAAAAAAAAAAAAAAAAAAAGCAGACTTTAGTATCTTCCCTGGGGCCCCAATGCCTGGAAAAGGCAGATCCCTGCAATGCAGTCATCAGCCAATCAATGATGTATGCTCTAATCAGATTCTGACAGAAGTAATCTATTTAGACCATCTTTCTGCCAAATAATTAATTCTTCTTAATTCCTGTATCTAGTTCAAAATACCACAAACAATAGGTCTTCCAAATGCTGTACAGCACCAACCAACTTCAAATAATTTCTACTTCCTCCCAACATTGGCCTAACTTTCCCCTCTCTCAGATCATAAATAATTCCAGTACCAATTTGGCACCCTCTTCAYAGCTTATGCTATGTCATGTTTGATTCCTTTAAGCTCAAGTCTCCMATTTCTGGCCACCTTTGCTATTCTCCAAACACGTCTTGTTTTCTCTTTAAGGTTTCTCAGTGGTTTTCTGGTAAAGGAAACCCCAAAACTGAAAGGATAAATTGGTTTCTGAGTCTCCTGATAATTTCCCTCACTGCAGAAACTTCAGATTCCTGAAAAAAGGATTWCCACACATGCTTTGGAAGAGAAGAAGAGCTGCTGTTGATTAGCATTGCCTGAGGTGATTGTCTCTGGCTTTAAGGGAAATATTGATATAGAAAAAGCTGTCCTGCTCATCTTTCCTCATCCTCCCCACAAAGCTGCTGACACTCTATAACTGCTGCACGCCTTCCAAAGACTATTCCCATCTTTCTGCAAAAGCCATTTAGGGCCA